AAAATTATTAAAGATAAACTGTTTATTCAATCCATGAGAGGGAAGCTACATTTTACTTTACTTTGTACTCATAAACATCCAGCCTAAAATTACATAAAAAGAATTACATGTGAGAATGTGAGAATCAATTAGTAAGTCACATTAAACCCAAATACTATTTACTTGAATTCCAATTCAAAATAGAATACTTCTTTTCTTTTTTTAAAGGGAAGATTATATAGATCAAGGGAAAATAACTGTATACACCTTCATTCAAACTGACTACTGTGCATTATTTGACAATTTCCAAGTCTTAGAAGAAAATTAGAGATGAGATTTTTTTTTTAAGTTGAAAGTCAGAACAGTTTCATTTCCTGATTCCCAGCATGAATCTGATATCCATAAAATGTTGTCAACTATCTTTCACTGCAACCCAGACAAAAGAGCACACACCTCTGTAAACTTTTGGTTTGATGTAACGAGAAACAGGATATATTTTTTTTCCAAATTCATCCAAATTTTATTTTGTGATTTACTTAGCAAAAAAATCTACACCCAAATCACAGTATGTGAATCTATAACAGAGCCACTAGAAGGGATGAGAGTAGAATCTGGTGGATTTGCCACAGAGTGATCCAGGACACCAAAAGAGGGGAGCACCCACTTAATTAGCTTCCTATACAACAATGTTCTTCTACACAGAATTAGCCTGTCTTCAGTTTTATATCTTTGTGGCTTCCCTCACTCTATAAAAGGTTGGGAATCTTCTACATTTATACATCTAGCAAATTCTGCAATATTCTGGGAAAGAATAAGCATAACCTCATGTCTCAAAATATGCTGCCTTAAAAAGAAGTTGGGGACGATATACAGTGAAAGAAATTAAAAATGCATGATTATTGGCAATTATTATGGAACTATACCAAAGAGATACAAACTACACCAAAGAGATACTCCCCACTTGAGAGTAACACTAAATTAAGTTGCTTAAAGCTTTTTAAGATGTGTAGTCAAAAATAGATGTGTTCTGTACAATAAGTAAAATATAGACGAAAGTGTATTAAGCAATCTACATTTTTTTATTCTGGACCTTAAACAAACAGGCAGTTCTAGAACAAAGTTTTTTTCCACTAGTAAAAATAATGCTTTAAGGCTGAAACTCTAAGGTTCCAAGCAAAATCTTTTCAACATCTCTTTATAATATTAATAAAGTTCAAGGCCATGTCTACTGAAAATTTTTGGCAAGCCAAACTTGCACAATTAAAATAAATACAGTGTCATGTGACTGGTCTCCCAAAGCCTGGAATTTTGACCTTGACAGAAGTCTTCCCATTTCTAATGCTATAAATAACCGGCATTTAGCTGAACAAAATATTAAAACTATTAATTCTCACAGAATGTGGTTGTGCCTTTTCAGTGCGTATGTCCCATGTAAATGTTTAGCATGGGCTTACTCATTTGACAAATAGTTATTGTGTGTCTACCAGGGCTAGGCCCCATACAAAGCAATGAAGATATAAAGGTGACCAAGACCAACATAATGCCTCTCCTTAAAGGAGAAAAAAAAGCAGAGAAGACAATATTAGAAATGTGTCTCTCTAAGTTACTGCTGTTCATGCCTATTTTTAACTTATATATTCTCATAACATGTACAGGTTAATTTATTGCTAGGCTTATGGTTAACGTAACATGATGAGTAAAAGAGGCTTTATACATCAAGTTTCTTAGTAAAGTTTCAAACCTCAAAAGGAATCATTTCTACTACTTCAAGAATTTCATAATAAAAGCATAATTTTAAAAAAGCATAATAATTGAAGGGCAGCATAGGTTTAAAATATTTCTGACAAAATGGCAGATCGACCTCATAAGTTTCTTTCAACCTGTTCCTCTCTTAAACATATTAATATCACAATAAAGGAGCTTTTGAAAAAAAAAAAAAAAGGTAGAAGCAGGAGTGACTGGGCGGCTCATTCAGTTACGCGTCGTCAGACTTCAGCTCAGGTCATCATCTTGCGATTTATGAGTTCAAGCCCTATGTCAGGCTCTCTGCTGTCGGCAGGAAGCTCACTTTGTATCCTCTGTCCCCCTCACTCCACCCCTCCCCCACTGTCTCTCTCAAAAATAAACATTAAAAAATAAAAGATAAAGGTACAAGCATACATGAACTAAGACAGAGAAAAGGAGCGTAAACCAAAACGATCAAGAGAATTCATCAAATTTTTATGGGATGGAAGAATGATAAGTAACTTAGGGGAGCAGAGGCAATACCTGAGTATTGTGGAGGAGGAAACCAAATGGAAATAAGCTGATTGGAGTTACAGATCCCAGAAAGGATAAGGCCTTGGAAAAAGAAGGAGCTGTGAAAGCAAATGAAGTAATGCGGCTGCAAACAGAGCATCAGATAACAATAGGTAAGAACATGCTTGGAGACTTCCCCAACACACAGGCTCTCACATACGGGTGCGCATGCGCCTACATCTACACCTGTAAGTCCTCCAACCTCTCCTATTCTTTGGGCCAACTCAATGACACCAGAGAAAAGGACTTCTAAAACACTGACATTTAGATACCACTCTATTAAAAAGTATAGGTCACCAATTAAAAGCTATTCTCATGTACAAATGGCTTCTGAGTAGCTCTCATATATAGATAGGCAGCAACCACAGATATGTGAGGAAAACCTCCAAAATGAAAGTGAGGGCTTAGAAAATCAAACAAGAATAAAAATGAAGCTAGAAGAAACAATACAATGCATGAAGTGGAAGACAATTATAAAAAAACTATAATTAATATCCTTAATGGAGATATTACCAGCCATAAAACAAAACATAATGCTGTACCACAAGAATATTAGAGAACAAAAAATAGTTTTGAATTTGAAAACAGCCTAGCTGAAATAAAACTCTCAACAGGCCAGTTAGAAGATAAAGTCAAAGATCTTTCCCATACAAACAAGCAAGGAAACAAAAAGATTAGAAAGTGAGAACAGATTAAATTAGATTAGGAACTGTCAGGAGGTTGAAATTCAGACTAACAGAGGTTCCAGAAAAAGAAAACAGACAAAATGGAGAAGGGGAAATTGTCAAAGAAATAATACAGGAAAAGTATATAGAACTTTTAGACACGAATTTCCATATTCTATTCCTCAAGTTCCTAGTAAAATAAATGAAGAAAAAAAAAAAAAGGCCCACACAAAGTACTTTATTGTGAAAGTTTCAAATACCAAGGGGTAAAAAGAAACTATAAAAGTTTTCAGAGCTGGGGGAAAAAAATGATTACCAAAGCAATAATAATCCTAATTATATGACTGGAGACTCTGTAAGAGTCAGAGTGCTTTGGTATTACTTGTACAGGAATTTTTTATAAACACTAATTACACAATAGATATAAATAAATGAATAAAATTACAAAAATTTACTGAATGTTCACTACATGCTAGTGTAATGCTGACTATAATTTTAACCATTTAAAGTGTATTAACTCGTTTAACTCCCCTAATTCTATGGGGAAGTCACTATTAAGTATGGTCGTTTTAAAAAAACTACATGATAATATCTCTCAATTTTAAACCTAATATTAATTTTTAAAAAGAAAAAATACTTTTTTAATGCTCGCTACCTTCCCAATCTGTTCCCAGATCAACCATGGTGGGTTAAAAATTCTGTCGTGGTCAATCAGGACGAAGGGAGAAGAGGAGTGGGCGATGAAAGTTTAGGGTATTTACTGCTAGTATTTTATTTTAAGTATTCGATGTATAAAAGTACTTTATGCTATGTATTTGTGATTTGCTGCTAGAAGGCCCATTCGGTAGATTCCCGGGTTCAAATGCATCAATAATCTCCACGGAAAGAACGCACTTACATCAGATCACTGACATGTATTCCGGCAAAGAATAAAGCATCTATACATTTCCCTATAGTTAAAAACAGAAGCGCTCTGGGGCGCCTGGGTGGCTTAGTCGGTTGGGCGTCCGACTTTCGCTTAGGTCATGATCTCGCGGTTCGTGGGTTCGAGCCCCGCATCGGGCTCTGTGCTGACTGCCAGCTCAGAGCCTGGAGCCTATTTCGGAGTCTGTGTCTCCCTCTCTCTCTGACCCTCCCCTGCTCACGCTGTCTCTCTCTCTCTCCCCTAGAAATAAATAAAAATTAAAAAAAAAAAAAACAGAAGAGCTCTTTTTTAAATTACTGTCATCTAAGCCCTTCATACTCTTAAGTCTTGCAAAGGAAATTTCCCTAGATGACTCCTAGTCATTTACATGACTATTAAACATATTGATGGACAAAAAAAAAAAAATCATAACCCTTTTACCCATTCTTGTCTTACCCTCCTCTTTACCTTATATGATAGGTACATAATGATACTTGCACAGTTCCATTTGAAGATCTTCTGGAGGAGTTAGCTTTATGCAGTTTCCTATTTGTGCTGTTCTACCCATCTTCTCACTTACTTACCTTCCTTACTTACAGTTCCTGGCTCGGGAGGGGCGGGGAGTAGAACACTCTTGGGAATAAGGGCCTGCAGTACATCATGTAGCTGCTCGCGAGACCTCAGACCACTGCTGCAGAGCTCCTCCCACCGCACTAGACCACCTGGACCACTTGCTGTTGCCCGGCCCGGCCCGGCCGCTCCCATCCCTCCCAACCCAGCTCTCCACTCTCTGCCTGCTGACTTCTTCGCGGCCGTTTTCTTATTTTGTCTTGGATTGAGGTTTTGGTTGGCAGGTGGTACCCGCAGCAACCTTCACGGCCCCGGCATCCACGGCAGCATCATCCACACCTTCCCACCAGCTGGGTTAACAGACCCGGGGCTGCGCGCCTGGCCTAGGTCTTCGTCTCTCACTCACAGGACGTCCCTATCTGCGGCCGCAGGGCTCCCACGGCCACAGCGGCCCACAGTCTCAAGCGCACCCCGCGTGACAGTCACACCTTCCCTCCCCGAGCTCCGGTGGAGCACCTGGGGACCCTACCCTCCGGCGTCACCTGCGGGGCAGCCCCAGCGCGCGCACGCGCTCACGCACCTACCGTTTCCTTGGCAGCCGCCACCGGGATGGGAATCAGCCCCCGGCCGCGGGGCGGGTCCTCCGGCTCCGAGACCGAGCTGTCCGAGGGGCGCGCGAGGGCGGGGGCCCACGCGGAGTCGGCCCTGGGGTCCCCGTACAGCTGGTAGCACACGAGGCCGACCAGCCCCCCGCCGGCTGCTGCCGCGATGCTCAGCTCGCCCCAGCGCCTCCGCCGCCGCCAAGCCGCCTCCGCCACAGCCCCGTCTTCCTCCTCCCGGCAGGAGAAGGGCCGGCCAGCCGGGCCCGGGGCTATCCCCGCCGGCCGCCCCCACGGCCCCGGAAAGGGATGGTGAGGGGAGGGCGGAGGCGGGAGCCGAGGCGGCGGCCACAGGAGCCTCCGCAGCGCAGCCATTGCGGGAGCTGCCCGCACCAGAGCTAGGAGCGGGCGGGAGTCGGGAGAGGGCGGGGGGGGGGGGGGGGGGGGTGTTGCACCGAAACCTCGCGAGAAGTCAGTGTGCGGAGGTTCGATGCTGTCCGAGAGCGACCCCTACAAACGTGCGGCCTGGGGTACCTGGTCGCGGGCCTTCAGCTGGGGCGACCGGGGGTCTCCGGCCCGGAGATGCCCGGGAAGGGGGCGGATCCCGGCTACTCCCCCGCCCGGCGCTGGCGTCTCCACCCCGCGCTCAGAAATAACTGCGCCCGCCCCGGCGGCACCTGACTGCGCGAGAAGCCAGCACCGCGGGCCACAGCCGAGTCAGCGGAACTGCAGAGAGCCCTCGTGGGCGAGGGTGTCCGGGCGTCCTTTGGCTAAACTTGACCCTTCGGCTTGGCCCGCCCGGGTGGGTCTTGGATCGTTGGTAGCGCCCCTCTAAGAAAGGCACGGCCCCTGACAGGTCACGGAGACCTTGCAATTGTACCTTCAGGTGTAAAATCATGAAGTAAAGTGTGGCTCGAGTCGTAAAGGGGGCAGATTTAAGTCAAAGGCTGTTTTGGCTACACAGCGACAGATTCCGGACTTTTAATGGGGGAAGGCCAACGGTTTTTAGTTACGGTTAAGTTTTTTTGTTTTTGTTTTTAAACATTACCTACCATACCTTAATTCATCAAATCAGAAGTGTCTTGAAAGACAACCTTTTGTAGGGAGGCTGTTGGTATAAATATAACCGATTGTGATTGTGTCATCTGTTTTTGTTGCTGCTGTACCTATTTGTTTGCTACACTGTCAGTGTCACTATTGTGAGAAAGTGTTTATGACATTCTCCGCAGTTCCCCACCTCTGAGCCCAATTTTGGCGAGCTGAGTAATGCCAGCTTCGGTCTCTATACTCTGGAATGGTGCCAGGATCCCTTAAAATATTCTAGGTCTAAGGGTGTAAATGACAAAATCCAGTTGTCTCAATTGAACTGCAGTCAAAAGGGAACTAGATCAGTTGATTGAGGCAATTCTTTTAAAGACTAAGGGCAAACAAAATGAGGATTTTTTCGACACAAATCCTGCTATTTCCATTCCTCACTAACCCCTTGCCTATAAGTAATCCGTAAGATATGCCTCAGTTATATCTTGTTTTAATACAGGCTAATGGAATTTTCTAAAAGTCACCCAAAGTGATAAACAGAAAAATCCTCTGTAGCATATGAACAAAAAACGTGCTTATTTTAGGATGCTATCAATATGTTTCTTTTAGCCTGTTGTTTTTATATAATGCTGTGAAGAAGACTCAGTGCCTCTTTGTATTATCACGAAGATTCCTTCAATTTCTGCCTTCTCTGAATTTGGGGAAATTTTAGTATTCTCAAAGAAACATTTACTCTGTGGATATATAACACAGTTCTTTTTCTGGCATTGTTTACTTTGAACTGAGCACAATTTCCGGATTTTCTCATAAATTCCCAGCATGGCATAATGGCAGATTCTTGGCCAGACTGATGAATTTTTATGACTGCATATTAAAAGCTGAAAAGCTCTAAGGGGAGTTAAGGAGGTAACACAATAACATCATATTACAGATCAGGAAAATGACAGAAATTCTCCATCTGCATCCTTCAAGTACACATATATTTTCTTTCTAGTTTAAATACATTTAATACAACCCCTGCAAGTCATTTCTCTGGCTAGAAACCAAGCACTTCTGTGAGAGGTGCTGGATTTAGGTTTGTCAAGTACTCACAGAACTTTGGATGAAGCTCTCTCTGTATGCAAAAGTTATTCTAATTTGAACTGTCCACAATACATTCCCTCTAAAAGCAAAATTTCTTTTTTATAAAGTTTATTTATTTATTTTGAGAGAGCGAGAGAGAGAGCGAACACCAGTGGGGTTGGGGCAGAGAGACAAGGAAAAAGAATTCCAAGTGGGCTCTGAACTGTCAGAGGGTTCATACTTAGGAACTGTGAGACCATGACCTGAACCAAAATCAAGAGTCACACGAGTAACCGACTGAGCCACCCATTTGCCCTCCTTTAAATTTTGTGTCAATTCTCCTGCACGTTAATAATATCCAAAAAAGTCCCTACTCCACAGTGAGAGTCTATACCTTCAAAAAAAAACATTCATTGATGTTCACTATGATTTAAGTAAAAAGAAATGCTCTAAAGTATTTAAAAATGTTTATAAGAACAAGGATCAAGCCAAAAAAGCTTTTTTCAAGAAAGCATATTTATCAATATAGAGTGATGAAGTAGTCGGCAAAAGATTTGGACTCTTGATTTTGCTATATCTTAGTAACATAACCTTATAAGGCTTTGGAGGCCACAATTTCCTATATAATAATAGAAATGAATGGTGATCACCTTCTGAACCCATTGTCTTAATTAACCAAAATGCTCCAAGCATACCAGTAAAGCATATACAAATACTTCAGGGCATTTTTTCACATGTCATTTCTCTTTTCAAAATGTATAACTGCCCTACAATCGCTTTAATACTTTCCTATTCAAATTCCATACCATCACCTAATTATTTTAACCTTTCACTACTTTTTAAGTTGCAACAACAACAACAAAAAAAAGAGTGACTTTTGCATGTTCTAAAAGTGAAATTTAAGTGTAATACGTATCATGCTTAGGCAGAAATTTCTTGTTTCGTAAAACTCCTATTAAAATATTCCTCTCACCTTATGTTACTCACTCTGAGCACTGAAATCTTGACTAGTTAAGACAAGGAGCAATGTTATCTAAGACTCTATATCGGGACACACGAGTCCCCTACCGGCAGGTACCCTCAGTTCCCACAGAGGGAAGCTACCAGCCAAGAACAAAGCTTCAGCAAGCCCCTTGTCTCTTGGGAAAGTTGTCATAAACATTGTCCTCACCTTCGGGGACAATTAGCAAATTTAAAAGAAAAAGTGGTGGGGGAGATGTGTTTTCTGGGGTCACTGCGTTTTCTTGGTCTTTTGTCTTCCTAGGGGGCTAGCCACCAGGAGTCTGGAACTCCATTCTTCAGCATCCAGGGCTGTGAAAACCAAATGACCCAAGTCATAGGGGTCTGTTTTTTTTTCTTTCGCCTATTTTCTACACCCAAAGACAGATTGACAATGGTTTGTGACTGTTTTTTCCCCTTAGTCAAAAGTGAGCTATGTCTAAGCTCAATAAGCCATGTATTTAGCCCAGCTGCTGGCATATAGTAGGACCTCAATAAACATTTATTAAATGAAGAAGGGAATTTATTATTGTTGTAGGGAGAAGAGGCCAAGATGGAAAGGCAGTTCAGGAGAAAAGGAAATGAAGTACTTTATCAGAGGCCAAAGGAGCTGATAAACCAAGTAGCATATACAGAAATACAATTGATGCAAACAGAAGGCAGAAAGGAGAAGGCAAGGGATTGTCAAGCATGCATTAGAGAAAGAGTGTGGTTGTGGCGAAGGGTTGTTTGAGAACAATCAATTTTGTGATTTGAAGCCATCATTGTACATGTCATACTTTGGCATGATCCTGCTGGATTTAGAGCCTTAAAGCAACAGGATTCCATCAGGTTCTTTTGGTCCTCTGAGGAATCCCAGCATGATCCATGGTGAGGGTCAGTGAGTTGACCTTGATACTTCCCTTTTTGTTATTACAGATCTCACCAGTGACAACAACTAAGCTGTCAGTTGTACACATTTAAGTTCTTAACTTTAAGACAAGTAATAAACTCACTTTGACTATTATATCTGTCCAGTCTGATTTATATAATTTATGACTTTATATGATTTCCAGGGTCTTTGCCAACAGTGTCTCACTGTTCAATTCATGCTGTTTTTGTCCTCCATTTGGTGGCAAGAACTTGATTTCCTATGTTTTGGGGAAACAAGGAATAGCTACTCAGACCTGCTCCTAGCAAAGCCTTCTCGTACCTGAAAACAAGTGAGCCCTTTCTTAGTTGCCCTAAGTCGTTTTCAAGCCTGATACTGATAGAGAGTAAACTTCTCTGCCCATTGAAAACGTTTTCTCTTCTGGAAGAGAATAACCTCAGAGCAATATAATGACCATCCATAATGCAAGGATGACAAATAATACAATCTTTCTAAAACTGTTGACAGTAACCACTAAAGCTGAACAAGTGTATACCCTGTGACCCATCAATTTCACTCTTATGTGAAACACTCAACAGAAATGAATATTTATGTGCACCCAAAGACACACAGAGAAATAGTAATAAGGGGCCAAAGACTAAAACGTATCCGTATGTTCATCAACATAGTCCTGGATATGGTTTTTATTTTTATTAATTTTTGGATTTAGTGTTTAAAAGCATGGTGTATTCGAACACAACTGAATGCTGTGTAGTAGTGGAAATTACTGAGCTGCCACTATCTGCATTCACATGGATGAGTTTCACAAACAGAAAGTTGAGTCAAAGAAGATGAACACAAAAGAAACAACTATATTATTCCATTTATAATGTTCAAAAACAACAAATATATACATATACATGCACATATGCACATACACACATGTGGTATAAGAAATCATGACAGTGGTTACTCTAAGTGACACACATGTGGTATAAGAAATCATGACAATAGTAACTCGAAGATGGCTAAGCGGGATTCTGGAGTTCTGTTCATACTATATTTCCTGATCTTGATGCTGAGTAGAGAGTATATTTACCCTGAACATCCATAAAGCTGTCTACTTACATTTTGTACATGCTTTTAATGTATCTTACACTTCAATAAAAAGTTTATATGAAATAAAAACTAAATTTTCTTGCTAATGCTCTTACATGAATGTGTTATTTTCCAGAGGACTGGCTCAATTATGAACTGTCTGACTGAGAAGGAATGTAAAAAGTTGTAAAGTGTGGAGATAAGAGCAAAAAATTGATTGAAGGGTTGGAAATAAATGGAAAAGATAGATAATCTTGATATAGCCTAAAGAGATTTAGCCAAGGAGTATCTTAATAAAAGACTTTTAGTGCCTGAAAACCTTTAAGAA